CCTCCTACCGGTTTTCTTAGTAATTACTCGCACAGCAGTAAGGAAATCTATTTGAAAATTAGTATCAAAAAATCAACTTTCAAAGTATCACCTATTAAAGAAAAGATGACTATAGAAAAGGCGAGATATCTGCTCAGAAATCTCCACCCAACCATACCATAGATTTTAAAGGATACAAGGCAAAGAGAGAAAAAGAAAAACGGAACTAGGTGCTGCAGCCGAGTAGGTGAACAATTTTTCGCGCATAGACCTCCTGCTGTTCGCCGCCAGTTAGTAACGAACTGCCCTACCCGCCAGCGGCTACCGTAACATCCCCTTTCTGATTGGTGGCGCGCTAACTCCGCCTCCTGGAATTCGCTCGAAATTCACGGCTCTCCACTAAATAGTCTCCCGTCATTGAAATTTTGTTCCGGCCTTGTCTCTCTCTGCATAGTCATAACATTTACAGCTAATAATGCCCCGCCCTGGCAAGGATTCTTACGATGAGCAGGTCAGTTCTGCGTTAACTATGAAATTTTCTCCATCTGCTTCTAGAATCACTGTTCCTCAACCAACATTAGTTGAATCTTTTCAGAAACCACCATATTCCTATATCTGGCTTACTTATATGGCAATTCAAAACTCCGAAGAGAAAATGCTTCCATTAACTGAAATCTATAAATTTATAATGGATAAATTCCCATTCTACAGGAAAAACACGCAGAGGTATGTCTACAACTCAGTTCAGATTTCGTCCAAGTCATCTCCTTATTGTTAATTGCAGATGGCAGAATTCTTTGCGGCATAATCTGTCATTTAACGATTGCTTTATAAAAATCCCACGAAGACCTGATCGTCCTGGAAAGGTGAGCATAGATGTGTATTTCGTTTGTACAATTTACGTTTTCAAAAATCTGATTTGTAAAATAACTGCTTTATTTGACCTTTCTCTCAACTTGCCTACTTTCTCTTGAGCTCAAATCTTAGCCGTGCAACCTACTGTATTTTTATCTCCTACTAGTGACGAAAACCGCACATATAACTGATTTACTACCATCCATAGTTTGCATGAATGAATTGCTTTGAAAGTAGCTGTGTTGCTCAATCAAAACTTGAATTGAGCACGAGAACATGAAACTTCCGGAAACAATTTGAATTTGCGAGTAAATAAGTCGCTTGAAGTGGGAAATAGCCACTTGTGTTTCTTGTACTACATACATATAATCTAATGGAATACGATGCGGGCACTTGCAGTTAAAAAAGCATGGCTCTCCTTTTAACGTGTATGTATTTTTAAGCATTGTCAGTTTCCGGAAAATGAATCCAGTCCTTCCTTCTTGTTCGTGGATACAGCAGTAGATATCCCCAAAATGTTATGAATCTGGGTTGGAG